CAACACGCCGCCAGGGTCGGCGGATCATAATTGTAACCCTAAACCCTAAACCTTAAACCCTAAACCCAAAGCCCTAATGCCTAAGTCCAAAATTATTAAGCAGCCCTCAAAATAGTAGGGGCCTAGGGCCCAAACATTCAGAGCCTCAAACTCCGCAACCTGCGACGGAGTTCAGGGTCTTAGGGTTTTAGGGTTCAGGGTTTAGGGTGTAGGTTTTTAGGGTTCAGGGACCCCAAAACGCGATGCATCCTCCGACCCCGGATTTTTCAAATCCGTAGCTGAAGGCGAACTCCGCGCAATTTCAGACCACCCGAGTACCTGTCTCCGACGCCTCCCTCAGCTTCTGGGCAGAGATTGCAGCGGCCGAAGGATGATCAGGGTCCTAGGGGCTTTAGGGTTTTTTGTTTGTGTCTTTCGTGCTTGAGGGTTTTAGGTCCTCCAAAATCATGTTGATGACAAAGCTGCCAAATCTCCACAGCTTTGCATTGATTCACGCTTTCCTCAAACCCCAAGCCCTAAACCCTGAACCCTGAACCGAAACCCTAAACTCTAAACCCGAAGCCCTAAACTAAACCCTAAAACCCTGAAGCCTTTTATTTAAGCTTCCAGCCAGCCATCGGCAAACCCCAACCCCCAAACCCAAGCCCCAAAACCCTGAACCTTGAAGTTTGCCTACCTTCCCGGCTTTGTCGGCCAACCCAGGCTTGTTTGCTTCCCCCTGGGATGCATGCGTTCACGATGCCCCTGGGACTTGCCAGAGCTTGGCGCTCTTATGTCGCCATATAGAGGCCCTAAGCAAAGTAGAGTCGGGTTTTGGGGTATTTATCATGCTAACTATTATCCATAACAGCGTGACAACAAGGTTTTGGGGTATTTGTTATAGTAACTATATCTATGATCAATGATACGGCTCCTTGGGGTAATTGTTATTCTAGCGTATATGGTAAGGCACCTCGCAGTCCAGATCTGGGTGTTCTCCCGTTGTAGATACCGGGATTGCGGGATCTGGGATTTAATGGTTTAGGGTTTAGGGTTTGGCTGCCAATCTGCAACCCATAACCCTGAGCCCTAACTATCAACTACGCCCCCGCCCCCATACACTAGGCCCTAGGCCCTGCAACGCTTGGGTTGTTACAGTTTAGGGTCGTGCACTGCTAGAAAGCTTTTGTGCGCGTGGCAACTTTTCTCCTGATTATCAAAGTTTGGTGTTAGGGTTTTGGTCTACAGGGCTTGAGCTTGGGGTTTGATGTTGCATATCACGGACGCGTGTTTGCACAAGCTGACATGTTCTGGTGATCAAGTGCATGAATTAGGACACTCTTCATTGAGAAACCCTTGTAGAGAAAGGGAGCGGGGCTCTGGAACTCTACATAGAGGTTCAATTCTGCACCTTAGCATCCGACGCGCTAAAGCTGAGCAATGCAAGCCCTGCGTCCGAAGTCCTAAGCCCCTAACCCAGAACTCATGACAGTAACCCTCAACCCTAAAGCGCGGAAACCCCGCAACCCAGAACCCCAGAACCCTAAACCCTAAACCTCCTGACAGTGAAACCCCGTCATTTTTCCTACACCCTTGGTATAAGCATCGGCCCAGCATTCTGGTAGAAGATATCACATGCTAACCATCGGCTAAGGCCTTAGCTAAGGCCTTAGTAGATGCTCCTGATAGAAAGCAGATCCAAAGCATACCGCGAGTCCCAAAGATTGCTCTCGAAGTCCCTTTCACACCTGTTATCTTTAGGGCGCGGGACGAGGTGCAAATGCAGCTTATTGATTTCTGCATCTCCGTGATCATGGAGACAGACGCTTTGCTCAAATGCGGGCTTCAGGGGTTACCAGAAGTCCGGCTGTCATAGGAAGTTACAAAGGGGGGCTACAAATACGAGCGGGTCCCACGTATCACCGGCGGCTCAGCCCGATTCGGGGCCTTCAATTTCCAGGGCCGAGCCTGACTTCAAGGCCATCAATCAGGGTTTACTTGGATAACTGAGGTTACAAGTGGGTAGGTAGTATTATTAGGGGTACCCCTTAAAGGGTACCCCTTCTGAACCCTACTTTTGGCTCTCTTAAAAGGGACCTTATTGAGAGGGTTTTTATCCCTTAGGGTCCCCTAATCCTAGCTCCCAGTGGGGTAACGCAAGTTATAACCCATATTAGGGGACGTATAATCCCACTTATATCTACGCATGAACCTCCAGGCAGAACTGGGCCCATTTACTTAGTATGATTCCTCCCGAGTGTACGTATAGTCAAACATACTTCAAACTTCTTTGGTCGGTATACTCTCATAAAGGAATACAACTTGCGGAAAATCCTATTGAACATCACTAAGGGGCCCCATATTCGGATCTCGAAGTGAACCCCGTCGTAGGATACGCGGCGGCAGATGGCCACTTTTTCGAGCCCGATCATGGCAGGAGATTGACTACAGGGTTTTGGGTTTAGAGATTTGAAGGCTTGAGGGTCTCAGGGTGTGGGGTTTATCAAGGGCGGAGGTTGCGCTGTAAGATGTAGGATTTTCGAGCCTGGTGATCGACCCAAAACCCAAACATCCTACATCCCTAAAGGCCCAAAACCCAACCGGATTTGAGTTTCTTTTAAAGTTCTGCCTGGGAGCGTTATCTTTTGCAGGGAACAAGATCTGACTATTTCGGGTTTGAGCTTCAGGGTTCAGGGTTTTGGCTTCAGGGTCTTGGGTTTACGGCTCAGGGTTTTGAGTTTAGGATGTTGGGTTCAGGGTTTTGGGTTTAGGGTCTTGGGGTTCAGGGTTTTGGGTTTAGGGTCTTGGGTTTAGGGTTTTTGGTTTCAGGGGTTTTGGGTTTAGGGTGTTGGGTTTAGGGTTTTCGGTGCAGGGTTCGTCTTCCTTGCAGCTCAGACCCCGCACACACACCCAGCTGCTCCCAGCTTTTGAATCTTGTCTCCCCTGTTTCAGTGCAGGATTTCAGTATAAACCCTATGCCGCTGTCATGTAAAAATATCATTTAAAGACGTTAAATCGTATTCAGCCGTAGACTGTCACTGTAGACCCTTAGCCATATTCAAAGGAATTGTCATTATAGACCCTAAGCTGTATTCAACCGTAGGATGTCAGCATAAGCCCTAGACTGTCTTCAACTGTAGAAAACTATTATTCCGCTTAAAATGTCATTATACTCTGAGGTCCATGTTTAGCGGTCCATCTGGGCTCGAGGTGCTCGTTTCCCAGGGCCAGGCTTCGTTTTAGGGTGAGGGTTACTTTTTCAACCCGTGTTAATGGTTACCATAGGGCCTGAACCCTAAACCCTGAACAGACAATTGGAGGGCCAACTGGATAGAACCTTTGAAGACTTCCGGCAGGAAACATGAAGCTGATGGTGCGCAAGCAGGCGGGCAGGATCATTTTACAGACCGGATATAGGGGCTAGAAATCAGGGTTCAGGGTTCAGGGTTTAGGGACCGATTCTTGCTTGCTACAGACCCTTTTGACCAAAGAGCCCTCAAGCTCCAACTCCTCTAAAGCCTCTCAAACCTCAATCCTAAGCTTCAAACCGACATAAAATCCGCTAGATCGTCAAACCGTGCGCAGGGTCGCGACGGGCTTGGAACCCGAAGGTTTAGGAGCCTCCGGGCGCTACAACAACAACAACAACAACTACTACTACTACTACTACTACTACTACTACCACTGGCTGCTACTGCTGCTACTGACACTACTAGTTCTAGTTCCACCAGCGCCTCTAGTACCACATAGTGCCATTATTACTACTACTCCTGAGTTATCTTATTCCCGAATAGGGTTTGGCCTCAGCATTATATTCACTGTCAGGTGTATCATCTTCAACTTCTGCAGTGTCACCGTCTACACAGCCATCGTCATCGCCCATCGATGTCTGCTTCTCCATAGTCAAGTCAACATCATCGGCATCGTCCTTCACCACATCATCGCCACCCTTCCTATTACTGTCCAGCCGCACAGAAATGCATAAATACAAATCTACATCTCTCTCTCTCTCTTTTTATTATATATATATATATGTATTTACCCATATATATATATATAGATATGTAGGCATGTACACACACACACACATACATGCAATCATCCGCACATAAGCAGGCGTGTTTCCATCTGTCTATGACTCTGGAGAGTCATTCCTTGCGAGGTCTATGACAACCGCTGGGACCCGAGCTTGGGCTTCAAGTCCGTGTGGTTCAGCTGGCTGCAGCCTTTCTCGCCCTTTTTGTGGCCTCGGCGGGAAAGTTATTTCAGGGGTTTGCGATTTTGACTTTTCGGGTCGGGGGGCCTCTCGCCTTCTTTCCGAACTAAACCCACCTCTCCTAACCCCCTTCACGTTCAGGGTCTAGAGTGTTGGGGGTTCCGGGTGTCGAGTTTGAGAGTTCGGGCTTTGGGGTCTCGGGCTTGGAGCTGGAGGCTTCGGGGTTTAGAGGTTCAGGGCCAATCTTTAGGGTTTAGGGTTTCAGTGTTTTAGGGTTTAGGGTCTACGGTTTAGGGGTTTATGGCTTCAGGCTTCGGGGCTTAGAGTTTCGGGGCCAGGCAGGGCCTCTTGATCTTAGGAGCCCACTAGGTAAACTTTAAGCTTTTTTGGCATATTAAACCCCTACCAAAAGAAAAGTTTAAACTTTTTTGGGCCAGGGTATTGGGCTTAAAGGTGATGCTGGGGGCTCTGCCTTTCAATGACTTGGCGTTCAACGGACACAAGTACAGGCCACAATGTAGATCGACAAGACGAGAGTCTAATTTCGAACTAGAACTAGAACCTCAGGAGGGTCATGAGGGATATCGTGGTCTCGAGAGTATTACGCGACTTGAGAATTTGTGCCTCAAAGTCTCGCTGCTTCTGGCCCCTTGTAGCCATGCCACGTGCAGCTATGCCCCGTGCCTCATCGAGATTCCCCTTGCTGCTCGGCCTGCTTGCGTTGGCATGCTTGAGCAGCCAGCTTGCCAGGCCATCAGCTAGCCCTGCCGCATTTGCAGCAATCAGTCCAATCAGTGAGGGAAGCAACGTGCCCTCGGTGACATTCAAGACCCGCACGCGCACGGAGGAGAAGGTGGAGAATCCTTTTGATTGGAAGGACCTGACATCTGAGGATCTCTTCAAAGGAAAGCGCGTCGTGGTCTTCGCTTTACCAGGGGCTTTCACCCCAACATGCTCGAGCACGCACCTCCCAGGCTACGAGAGCAAGTACGATGAGATCAAGGCCCTGGGCATCGATGAGGTGTACTGCCTCTCCGTGAACGATGCCTTTGTGATGCGTCAGTGGGGATTAGGCCAAGGCTTAGAGGAGGACAAGGCACCAGGGAGCCTGGGGTTCAAGAAGGTGAAGCTTCTGCCCGATGGAGCGTGCCTGTTCACCCGTGGCATGGGCATGTCCTGCGTCTGGGACAGCGAGCGAGGCTTTGGCGAAAGGTCCTGGAGGTATTCCATGGTCGTCAATGACATGAAGGTAGCTTGGTGGCACTTTGGGAAACTTGTTTCCCCTCTATGGTTCCTACATAGGTACCTCTTCATAAATACTTTTAAGGGCCCCCCCAAAACCACCACCCAGGTAGAGAAGCTCTTCATGGAGCCCAACGCCGTACAGAACTCTGGTCCAGACCCGTTTGAGGTCTCGGACGCTGACACCATGTTGGCCTACTTAAAGAGCAAGTAATATAGGGGCCTTAATACCTACCAATATTATCCTGGGGGTTCATCATTATGATTTGAATGGGCCGCAAAACCGTATCCTAATTATTAAGGCCCCTACATTATTTAAGGCCATGAGCCAGTGACTTGTAAGTTACAAACAACTTGTAAGTCTTGCTGGGGGCGCAGGCCTCTGCGCCAAGATTTCTGAGACCGACCATGAGTACACGCAAGAGTCTATGAGTCCTCAACCCTAAACCCTAAACTGCTGCCGCAGTTGACGCAGAGACTGGGACACCCCAGGCCAGACTTAAGAAAAGGTCCGGCGATGCGACGAAACAGCGCTGGCAGGGTACGCCGACTACGCTTTCCTGCAGAGCTTCAGTTCCGGAAGATCTCCTCAACCTGTTGAAGCCTCGAGTGTTGGTACCGTACTACTTGGCTTAGGGTTTAGGGATTGCTGTTTTCTAGCAACGTCCAGTTCGGGGTTTAAGGCCGAGAGGTCTTGCTGTGGAACCCATACGAAAAAAGGAACACTCACAGTGCATCTGCAAAGTCCTTGTCCTTCTCTAGTGGCAGGTGATGTGTTTCTTGTTGCAATTTCGCATATGCAAGGGTTTTTTCTGAAGTAGGCTCCCCGATTGCATCCTCATTGCAACATATACCCAGACCTTTACAACTGCATACTGCCAGAATGGCCCGTCAGTTTACATCCCTAGCTTTAATCCTGAAGCCCGAAATCCAAGCCATGGAGCAAGCTCCACGTTGTGGGATTGCTTGGTAGCAGAGGTGGCTGCTTGTGGGGCTGCTGGTCATTGCGGCCGGCATTGCCTTCTATTGGGCCGAGGAACTGCCCAGCTTTGCAAAACGTCAATCCGAGACTCTAAACAACTCCTTAAACCCTCGACCCTAAACGCTAGACCCTAAAGCCCAGACCCTAAACCCTCTAAAAAATCTGGAATGCTGAAGCCTTGTCACCCTTCGCAGATGGAACCTGGCGGTCCCCAAAACCTCGCCCAAACTAAAGCCGTATGGGGTTTAGGGGATGTTACATTCGCCTCCTGACAAGCCTAGAATCCTTTACATTCGCCTCCTGATGAGCTTCGATTCCTTATCAAAGCCTTGGTGAACCCATTTGCAACCTTGCTGGCCTCACAAAAAAGCCATCCAAGCCTTTAAACACCACCTCTAAACCCTAAAACTCTACAACTCCCTGTGGCAGAACCAAAGCCCCTGACACCCTGAACCCTTACAACCCTAAACCCCTACAGCCCTAACCCCGAAGCCCTACATCCATAAACCCCTACAGTCCCAAACCCTAAAGCCTTAAGACCCCCAAACCCCCTCAAGCCTGCAACCCTAAACCCCTAAACCCCTACAGCCCTAGACCCTTACAGCCCTAAACCCTAAACCCCCTCAACCCTGCAACCCTAAACCCCTAAAGCCCTACAGCCCTAAACCCCTCAACCCCTACACCCTTAAACCCTACCCATAGGCCGCATAGTAGTTCCTTTTTGGGATTACCTAACACCCCTCTTCGCCCGCCCTTGAGGAGGCACCAGAGACCGGCTGCTGCAGCGAAAGTCCCTGGACCTCCCTGAAGACCGGGGTCTCTCAAGGCGCCTCTAAGGGGTTTCGGGTTTAGGGTTTAGGGTAGGGCTCCTTTATAAGGGGCCTCCTTTAAAAGGGCTCCTTTATAGGGGCTCCTTTAAAAGGGCTTCTTCAAAAGGGAATCCCAGAAGGGTTGTTAGGGTTTAGGGTTTAGGGTTAAGGGTTTAGGGTTTAGGGTTTAGGGGAGTCCCTAAACCTTGTAGTAGAGTAGGCAACCTTTAATCACGTTTTGGAGTACAATAACCCCTAGAAATCTCTGAAAGATGACCCTTTAGTTATCCGGGATACTGGGCAAGTGGGTAAAAGCTACGGTTCCTTTACGGGCTTCGGCTGCGGCGGCTACGGTTCCTGAAAGCGGGTTGCTGTGCGGGTTTACGGTTCTTTTAAGGCTTTTCTTCAAGGGTTCCTCCAAGGGCCCTAAACCCTAAACCCTAAACCCTAAACCCAAATCTTTTGGGGCTCAGGGTTTAGGTTAAGGGAAGTTTTAGGCCTCAGGGGAGGGCTTTAGGGTTCAGGGCCTTTAGGGTTTGGAATAGGGTCTGGGGGTAAAAATATCTATCTCCATCTGTTTATTTGTAAAGTATTTTCATGCAGTACCATGAAATATCATGTAAAATCAAAAATTATAATACAAAATGACATAACAGTATATATATATATACACATACATATACTGTGTGTATTTATTCATTTAATTATTTATTTGGGAAGTCGTGGGCTTCAGGAGCCAGTTGAGGTTTCAAGGAGTTACGGGTTTGGCGGTTTTTTTTTAGGGGGGGGGAGAGGGAGGGAGGTTCAGGGCTTTCGGGCTGAGGGTTATGGGAAGTTATGGGGGGGTTACTAAAGTTTGGAGTTTAGGCTTTGGGGGTGTGGGCTTATTGGGCTTTCGGGCCTTGCTTGCGGAAGTTTGGGGTCCGTTTAGTTTCAGGGCGTTTGTGCAAAGCTTGATGTCAATGCCATATAAGCCCGGGGCCTATACCCGATTCAGAACTTTGCCTGTTGAGGGTGCAGGATTAAGAATCTACTCCATGCCAAGAACGGACAGGCACTCTTTCTTTCTTTGCTGGTGGCGACCTTGGTGATACCAAGACGCGCGCGGGTATGTGGATCCGGGTTGGTTTCGCAGTGGCCTGGCGGAATGCTCACTGGGATTGACAGAGGTTGAACTCAGCGACCCTCACCAGTTCTGAAAGTCCCGTAGCTTCGTCTACCAGTTATATCAGGCACTCATCCACAGTTTGTGCATTAGGCGACGGGTTGCTCCGCTCGAGTATGGATTCGTTTACATATGTTTTCTTTCTACCGACTTGTGTCTGTATACCTTTATGACTATGTGGTCGGCTAATGACTTTGCTCGCGGGTGTCACCTCGGCTTCTGTCCCATATGTGGTTTTATCGAGGTTGATGATTCGTCGAGCTTGTTGCCCGTAGCCCTTAAAGTTGGCTTCGGGGTTCTTTGATGTAGAGTCCCCTATTGGTAAGTATGCAAGCTTTGCAATCTGTTTCTTGGAGCTGTGGCATTTCCTTGTCCACTTCACTTCGAAGACGGGCACATGTCTACATGTGCATGTCTGCAACAGCCCATGCATACATACGTGTTAGTATCTATACATATGTAAGTGTACAGCTGCATATACACGAACAGTTTTCGTCATATACACACATGCAGACGATCTCTCTCTCTCTCTCTCGTTTCGCTTTTGAACATGCAAAGATGCGTTTATGTGGTTTTGAGCAACACGACCCCTGCTCCAGCCGACAAGCGCGCGATGAAACTTGCAAATCGGCTAACAATCTCAAGAGCGGACAAGAGGCAGTCACGATTCACAGATCCCAAATCCTGCTATGGTATGTGGACAGTGAGGCACAGAAGAAGTACAACGCAAGCCGCAAGAGCACGGCGGTGCTCCATAACACGGGCCACACTTTCTATACAGCTATATCCCAATCCTACTTACCCAGAATTCTAAATCCTAAGTTCTACAGCCCAGACCCCAACTCCCTGACCCCAAACCTTGAACCCATGCGAAGGTCTTCAGCATGGTGATGCTGGCATCTTACACGGCCAACCTGGCTACGATGCTCGTGATCGATGCGCAGCAGTCCTCGGGAATTACCAGCATCAAGGACCTCTCTAGGCTTTAGGGTTTAGGAAGAGTTGGGTGGTTTAGAATGCAGGGTCGTTATCGTGTCACCGTACAAACTGCTGGCCAGTATAGCATATGACTGTACAGTAATTTGGGCGGATTGTCGTAGATTGTAGCCGAGGGCCTATGTTCATACGGTTGTAGAAGAGAATGTAAGGCCAGGTAGGTAAGGGGCAGGAAGGTAGGACAAGGTACCAGTCGGGCGAATGTACATGTACATGTAAGTCAGCTTGACGTATCATACCGCCAGGTTAACATGGCAGAGTATTGGTCCGATTGTTTATGCTGATCATGTGCTGTCAAACTTGACTGTCAAACAGTGTTGTAGCTGACGGTAGAGCCCTGGTGGAGCATACATCAGCCCAGTGTCGCCAACTCCGTTACACCAGCAGGGTGGTACACGGCAATGGAACTGGGTATATCATTCTTGTGGAGTGTCGTATAGTCGACATAGGGGTGTGTATGGTCATGTATAGTCTAGTACATAAACCCTAAGCCCTTAAAGCGCTACGCCCGATTGCTGGCGCGAGGACTGTGACCCTCCCTCGGATCTTTGCCAGCGGCTCGGCTCTCATTGGTAATCCGTGCTTGGCCATGGCGGAGACGATTCCCCGACTTGCGTGCTGATGGAATTCATCTTCAAGCTTAACCAGTCTGTAGAATCTAATGGCTGGGAAGCAGAGAAGTATTGAAGGAGTCAGTGAAGCGTTTGGGAGGCAGAACTCAATGTCTGCACCGGAACCTACACAGCAAGGAGAGAGCATCCGATCTGTCCCATCTCCCCGAGCCTTGGCACTAGGAAAGTCTGCGTCATCTCGCAGCAGCTGAACTTGGTCCGAGCGCAGCACCCTACTATGGATGTCGTCGTCTTCCAGAACTCCGGAGATCTCGCAGGCGGTCTCGTGAACGGCGATTGCCAAGCAGCCATTGTCCCCGAGCACGACGTCAATGCCCGATCAGACTACCAGGCGCACGAAACGCAGCCCGAAGCCCGAGAAAACCAAGCCCCCAGCGCAATCTCAGCGGCAAGCTTTCCAAGACAGCGTTCGCAAGGCCCCATGAAGCCCACCACCCTGGCTTATTAAATCCTACAGTACCCCTCCCAGCAGTCGGGAGTAGAGTGGACGTCGGGTGGTAATATAGAAGCCTTATTCCTGAAAGCTCCTTGTTATAAGTAAGGAGCTCAACACGCTATTCTAATTATTAAGGCCCCAACATGAGAACAGCCCAGAAGTATTTTGGAGGAGACGATGTGCGAGAATGGCTTCCACCTGGCAGCGGGGCTTTTTCAGCAACGCGTGGGCTGACATGGGCTGAACTAGTGACGGCATCCCCTTAGTATGTTTACTGTTCCTTCGTAACTACACTCTCATATGCCCAAGCCATTGTTCTGATGATTAAGATCCCTGCATCAGGGTACAGGCCTTCGGGTGTAGCAGGGGCCAAGGCTACTGAATCTATTCTCTTCTACTCTACTCGAGCCAAGTCTATCTACCTATCTATTTATCTATCTAGCTATCTATCTATCAAACACTTACATACACGCACCTTAAGCCTTACTCCGGCCTTCATACGGGTCGCCAGGACATGCATCTGCTAGAGTCGTCCTGTCATCAAGCTTGATGTAGGTTGTTGGCATTCCAGACTTCGCTTGGCATCGATACATCTAAGCCTTATCTTACCTTTGGTTAGTAGGGAATGGAGGAATGGGGTACAATTTTTACTACTATTACTACCATTCTTCCATTCCCTACCAACCAAAGGTAAGTTATTCAACGCAGCCACCAGCAAGAAAGGTTGGGGACGCCGTGTTCACCGTCTATGTGGGCTTTGCCGCCAGATCTGACCTGATCAACGTGCCCTGGCTTTAGGGTTTACCCGTAGGCCCCATAGTAGTTCCTTTTTGGGAATACCTTATAGGATTCTACCTTTGGGTAGTTTTCTAAAAGAGGGTCCCTTTCGGGGTCCTTTTTATAAGGGTGCCGTACTATATTTGGGACCCAAAAAAGGAGCCCTAATTTAGAGAACTACCCATATGAACCCCAAAAAAGGAAGTACTTTAGGGCCTATGGGTAGTGTTGAGGGTTTAGGGGTTGAGGGCTTGTGGGGTTGAGACCTTTGGGGGTTTTGAGGGTTGCGGGTGAAGGGATTCCAGGGTTGCGGGTCTAGGGGTTGAGGGTTCCGAGTTTTAGGGTGGAGGGTTTCCTCAATCCTAAATTCTACAAACCCTAAAATCCTAACGCTAAAATCCTAGACTCTGTAAAACTACCCTAAACCCTAAACCCTAAACCCTAAACCCTAAACCCTACGAAGCCTGGGGCCAGGGCCTTCAGGCCCTAGCGGCCCAAGAGAAAGCCCCACAAGGGTTTAGGGTTTAGGGTTTAGGGTTCAGGGGAAACCGGATAAGACAAGTAATACAGGGGCCTAGATAATTACCTTTTCTAGTTTGGGGGTTCCCTTAGTAATTACCTTTTCTAGTTTGGGGGGTTCCCTTAGTAATTACCTTTTCTATTTTGGGGGTTCCCTTAGTAATTACCTTTTCTATTTTGGGGGTTCCTTACTTTCGTGATGGTATAATGTACCCCAAAACCATATTCTAATTGCGAAGGCCCCTGTATTCGTGCTGGGATTCCCTGTGCTTACTCTTAAGGATTGAGGCTATTCGGTTTCCAACTTTTGGGCTTCTACTATAGACTCTACCTATAGTCTCCATTGCAGTCCTTGTCTAGACTACCTTATAGGATCATATCACATTGGTGAAGCCAGAAGAAGGAAGTGCGTAGAAGGGAGACTATACCTTATTATTGTAGTAGAGTAGGCAACTTTTTTACCTTTTTGGGGTACGATACTCCCTAAATAATTCCGATAGGTTACAAGCAGTCTTTTGATCTGAGCCTTCTCGAGAGATCCTGTGGTCACCGGTTTAGGGTTTAGGGTTTGAGACTCTGTTTTCTAGGTTTCTGCATCACGGATTGAAGCTGTGAAGTTGGTTCTGTGTTCTGTTCCGAGACCAGGCGCTGAGCTACCACACTCTGCAGCTTGTCTACCAGGGGGAGTTCCTTGCCAGCTATGAAGCTTGGATGAAGTCAGGTCTGTAAACCTCGCAACATCTCGCAACCCTTACCTTTTCACACCCGGAAACCTAAGCCTTGCAATTGTTCAACACTAAAGCAGTCATGAGCTCTTCAGCTGCTTTGCATACGCTTGGAGCTCTTACTCCTAAACCGCAGAAAAAGCCTTGAAGAGGTTTATCAGAGGGTCTCGGGTTTGGGGTGGTCGTTGCACTGCCATAAAGGTTCATTCGGGCCGTCACACAAATAAGCAAGTACTGGTAGTGAGTAAAGTCGCGGAACTTCTTATGGCTAGAGGTGCCCGTAGCAGCCCACGCAGCAGCAGCAGTAGTGCCGTGGTGGTGGTAGCCGTCGTCGTCGTCGTAGTCGCAGTC